ATTCGAACGAGGTCGAATGTGAGTCGATTCGAGCGAGGTTGAATATTGACTCTTAGTTGATTCGAATGAGGTCGAATGTGAGTTGATTCGAGCGAGGTTGAATGGGAGTTGATTCAAGCAAGGTCGAATGTGATTCCATTCGAGCGAGGTCGAATGTTGACTCTTAGTTGATTCGAACGAGGTCGAATATGAGTTGATTCGAGCGAGGTCGAATGGGAGTCGATTTGAGTGAGGTTGAATATTGACTCTTTTGATCCGAACGAGGTCGGACGTGGTGCATTGGTTGGTGCAGAGTTAAAACTTGGTGGAGACAGGCCAACATCATGTGTTTATATGTTTTGCTTTCATTTATATATCAAAGTTTACATGTTTTTCGGGATGGTATTCCAGTCCCAGTCTATCTAGTCTCTTTATTGTTCGGCCTAAATAAGTATTCAAGGGGTCGAACAATGAACTTGCCAACTTGTAATCTACCCTGATCGAACTTTTAAACTTTGAGATGTCCTCCTTTTCGCCTCGTTAAAAACCTCCCCGAGAAAACCTAGTTGGGACAAAACTCGGGTGAGGGAAAAAGAGTATGGCTCGCAGAACATCTTTTCCTAGAAGTTGAAGTACTTAAGGTGGGCGATGTTCTAGTTGTTTGGTAATAACTTCTCCTCCATTATTTCTAGTTGGAATGACCCTTTGCATGCTGCTGTCGTGGTCTTGTATGGGCCGTCCAAATTAGTCCCTAGTTTTCCTTCTCGTGGGTCCTTGCTCGCCTGTGTTTTAGCTTTGAGTACATAGTCCCCTACTTTGAGCGGTCTGACCTTGGATTTTTATTGTAATATCCCTCTGCTTGTTGTTTCTGAGCGACCATCCTTATGTAAGCCATGTCTCTTTGCTCTTCGACCTCGTCGAGGTCTTGCCTCCTACTTTCATCATTAGTGGTCTACTCTCGTGTGAATATCTCAGGCTTGGTTCTCCGACCTTGACCGGCATCACTGCATCAGTCCTATAGACTAGCGAATATGGTGTCTCTCCTGTGCTCATTTTCGGTGCTATGCGGTATGCCCATAGCACTTCCGGCAGCATTTTGGCCACAGTCCCTTGGCTTTCTCGAGCTTCTTTTTCATGATGTTCAATATTGACTTGTTGGAGGACTCCGCTTGACTGTTGCCCGTAGGGTGATATGGTGTGGAGAGTATTCTTTTGATGTGCCATTTTTCAAAGAACTTAGCGATCTTTTTCCCAGTGATTTAGGCCCAGTTGTCACAACTAATTTCTTTGGGGATGCCGAAGCGGCATATGATATTCCTCCATATGAATGTGATGACTTCTTCCTAGCGTATTTGGGCGAATGAACCTGCTTCCACCCACTTGGAAAAATAGTTAGTTAAAGCTTAAAAAAATCGTACATTACCTTGTGAACAACATCATTTATCGTATCATTGAATTTTCTCCTAACTTTTCGCACTGATGGGTGGAATGGGTCGACATTCAGTTTGTGTGTCGCTATCTCCTTTGGGATGCCCGGCATGTCTGCATGGGAAAAAGCAAACATGTCTACGTTATCTTTTAAAAACTGGCAAAATTTACCTGGTTCTTGGAGTTTGTGGCCAATGAAGGCTTTCTTGTTGTGGTCGTTATCATCGAGCAGGACGGGGTCGAGGTCTTCTATGGTTGACCCTATGGCTTCTACGATCTCGGGGTCTCTAATGACGCATTTCCCCTCATCTCCATCTGACCCCGACTTCGTTAATTGCCATGGCTCCTCGACCTTGCCTTTCAGTTGTTGGTGTATGTGTAGTGTTGGGAAATGCGATAGCATTTCCAGTCACTGCATTGCTTTCCTCGGATGCTGAATACTCCTAGGGGGTAGGAAATTTTATGACTTGATATAAGCTGGAGAGGACGGCTTTCATGGAGTGTATCCAAGGTCGACTTATGATGGCGTTGTACGTCGTATCCTAGTCCATGACATGGAACATGGTCTGCAAAGTTATGCCACCGGCCAATATGGGCAGTGTGATTTCTCCGGATGTCTGCTCAACTACATTGTTAAAACTTGTTAGTGTGATGCAACGTGGCACTATCTTGTCCTCGAGCTTCATTTGGGTGAGAAATCGAGGGTGGATGATGCACGCGCCGCTCCCGTCATCGACCATAATACATTTTACATCATTATCAAAATGCGTAAAGTAATGACAAGAGCGTCATAGTGAGGAAAAACCAAACTGTGGGTATCCGACTTATCGAAGATGATACTTTCTTCGAGTTTGTCATACCATTCATGAGTGATTGACCGTTTGAGTTTGTGGGTGGTGTGAACTTCACGCTGTTGATTGATGCATCGTCGCCCCCTCCGATGATCATTTGAATGGTTCGAACTAGGAAAGGTGGTTTGGGCGGTCCCTGGTATTATTCATGTCCACGAGCGAAGTTGGCCCTCCCTCGATCACTTATCAGTTCTTTCAAGTGCCCTTAATGAAGCATGTTCATGACCTCTTGTCTTAAGGCGATAAAATACTCGATTTTGTGGCCTCGTTCCTGGTGGAACTTGTAGAGGACATTTGAGTTTCTAGTGCACGGGTCGGACCTCATCTTCTGTGGCCACTTTACTTTTGCGCCGAGCTTCTCCAGTGCGTAAACTATTTCTGAGGGGGAAACACAGAAACTGTGAGTAGATAATAAGGAGGCATACCTCTCTCATTCCGTTGAGTTCCGTTCTTGGCCTAAAAGGGCCTTCGTCGTGTCGGGGAGGCGGCATGAGGGTGCCTCGGCTGTAAGGCTGATATCTTTCCCGGTTAGGTAAGGGTCCTAATAGATCTCTCTTGTTATTGTATCTCCAGTCCTTCTTGGATTCGGCTTGTACCGAAGTTAATCGTTGAATTGGCCCATTTAGATCATCTTCGTCAGCTCGAACCTTGGCACAATAAGCATTGTGTATCTTGTCCCAAGTGTTTGGGTGATATTTCATGAGGTGGCTCAGCAGATTCCTCGGTGCCCTCGAACCGCTTCTGTTTAGCCCGTTATGAAAGGCTACCACGACCATTCCTTCCGATATGTTTGGTAAGGTCATCCTTACTCAGTTAAATCGAGCAAGGGAGTCCCTGAGTCCTTCTCCAGGTGACTATTTTATGGCAAATATTTCATTTACTCTCGCTTCCGCCTTCTTTACTCCGGCATGGGTTGTTACGAACTTATATCCATTTCCTCGAATGTTTTGATCGAACATGCGGGTAGCTGTGAATACCAAGTCAATGCACCCCCGGTGAGGGTTTCGGTGAAATTCTTCAGTAAGATGGAGGATACTTGCTCTTTGGCGAGATCATTGCCTTTCACTGCGGTGACATAATAAGTCACATGATCTTCAGGGTCCGTTGTGCCGTCGTATATTTTCAGGTATGATGATATTTTGAAAGTATTAGGTATGGCATGCGGTGCAGCTTCATCGCTCTATGGCTGCTCAACAAACCGACCGGCGTCCCTTTTTTATAGAACTTTGGGGCACCCAGTATTTTGTCTACCCTTTCTTGGTGCTCTTTCATTTGATTCCGGAACATTTTGTTCTCGTTCTCCATTTCCTACATTTTCTTCAAAATGGCTGCGAGGGTGTCATTACCTGTATCATTAGCATTGTGAGTAATACCTGTTATGGGGGGGGACTGCTCGTCAGTTGCCGGTGCAATGCCGACCCTTGCCTCTTCTCTGCTCGGCCTTTGAGCGAGCTTGTCGAGGAATCCAGTTAGCGTGTTTGTCAACCACGCCTCGAGTAGCTTTTTCACTGCCGGTGGTGCCTCTTCTGTTGTGGATGTAGAGTCCCCTTTACTGTGCGAGGTCGTGCTGCTACCGTGAGGTGAGGGCGAGCAGTTTCGCCTAGGAAAGGTATTTGGTGTTATATCTTCGCCCTCCATTTCATCCATTTCATTGATGATGCGGAGGAGGTTGGTGGTAAGGTCGGCTATCGCCTTCCTCTTTTCCTCTCCGTTACCTGCCATGTTAGATTTATGCACACAAGGAAGTATAGGGTTTTTGCAAAGTTTTTTTTATCTAGAAGAGACTAAAATTTTAACTAGAAAATCCCCACAGGCGGCGCCAAATTATTTAACCAAAAATGTCAAACCTTTTTGTTAAACCAATTAAATAAGAAAATAATGAGTAAATCCTAGTTAAACATAATAAATCCTAGATCTGAAATCGGTTTATACAAATAAGGTAGAATCGTATTTAAACCAATTTAATGCAATGAGTATTAAATGGCACTGTTATAAGTGTGTGGGGGGAAGAATGATAAACAATAAATATATTAAATGACAATAAATATAAATAGAGAGAATGATTCACTCAAATATTGAATGAGGTAGATGATTCTTCTTTCTGACAATGATGTAAGACAAACAAACATGGGAATATAGGGAGCTTTCTCGGATCTGATGAGAGAAAGTGTGAGATGAACAACCAATCGAATCTTTGCAAAAAGACAATATTTGTAATTTTTCTTGAGAGTCAACTTTTCATGAGAGATCTTATCATATAAAATATTACTTGCCTCTTTCTTGTTTCTGCCTTTTCCTTTATATGAAACCTATCCCTTACCTAACACGAAATACAAGTGTAGAGAATATTCAATAGAATATTCCCCTAAAATATCTTGCTATGAAACTAGTCGATATGGCCGACCTGAGTCTCCGACCTCAACCAGGATTACTCGGCTCACCAAAGGGTTCCTTCTATCTCCAGTACGACGTAGGTCTAATCGGCTCTTAGTAATTTGCCTTTGAGCAAAATTCCCTTGATCAAATTTCGACCCAGTATTACTTTTCTTTGTTTTTCGCTGTTCTATCTCTCATTCTCAATTATCACACGCACAAAACACAGACAATAATGAAAAGTTGAAAGCAACAAGCACCCCTTGCCCTTTCTTAGCCACTCGTTTATGGGTCTTTGTTTCAACTTTGACTTGTTTAATTATTTATAAGCATTTCTTGAAACACTTATGGTAAGGTAAGGCTATGCCTATTGGCTATTACCCTATAAAGGTAGGAGAGAGAGACGATGCAATATTTCTTTTTGAACAATTCCTTCTTTACCTACTCCTTTAATACCAGTAATTCATTCTTCTAAAGATAAAAAAATAAATAAATGTTTATCCATTACCCTATAGTATAGGGCTTATACTATAGTAGTAAGTCCCCTTTTTAAAGCCCTAGAAATCAAACCCCACTCCCCAGACTTTGCTTTCTTTCTCAGTAATAACAAGTCACAAGACACTATTTTTACATACATATCTTTTTGACAGTTGCCACTTTACTGGTCTATAATGGAGTCTTGTTTGTCAGTGAATGAATGGCTGTAAAGACCAAGTCAGTCTTCTACTTTTTACATCTTTATCTCTCCTTCACTGCTATGCTCAATTAGAAATAATGGATTGATTCTTGCTCCAAATTTGATGTCTTTATCTTGGTTTCATTTTTAACTACATATCCCTCCCCAAAACCATCACACTCGTTTTCTTTTTCTTTCTTGGAGTTTTTTCATATCTTGATACGACTACATTTTCTGCTTCCTACTTGTAGTAGCAATCAAACTTTAATTTCACACCAAAAGACAAAGAAACTGTCATCTTTAATCTTTGTCTTCCTACTGCGGTTCTCCTCTTCAGTATCAGACTTTGCATATTTTGAAACTTACAGTTAAGTATCTTTTCCCCCTTTAAAATCGTTTTTAGATTTGAACTTGGGAACTCTAATTAAGTGGAAATATTTTAGATAAATCATTTTGCTATCGTTCTCTTTTAGCCTAGTGAATTATTGGATTTTACTTTTCATTTTATTTGGCAAAATTCTTTTCCCTTTTCAGATTTTGGTTGGTCCAGTCCAGTCCAGCAGATAAGCTACTTTAAATTCAATCATTAGACTCCAGCCGACAGTGCTTAAATTATTATTTACTACAAAAAGTAAAAGTTTTTTGATCATATATTATTGGTTAAGGGTGTGCTTAATTTACAGCTGAAATAGCTTTTCAAGATTCTCGTAGTCCCTATTTTGACACGTATTGTGGTTGAGAATTTTATCTACAAGCTAAGTTCCTTTTTGCTGTGGATTCTTCTTTTGTTTCATCAGTGCTAAGAAAAAGATTTAGCTTTCTCAACTTCCTGGAGTTACTTGACTAGATATATATTACTCCTTTTTATATTAGTTCGCTGTATATGTATGAAAATAAATTGGATTATAGTATTAATGTTGGGTGATGTTGAAGTAGGTGGGGATGAGCATGAAAATGAGGTTTTGATTCTTGGCGTTAGGGACAAGATAAAGACACTTTGTAACTTTGCAATTAGAGTGTGGTTAGTGGAAGGCAATTTTGATTAAAGTTAATTTCAAGTGTGTGATCGATGGAATCATCATCCTCATCCTCATCCTCGTCTAAGAGGGCAAAAGCACCTGGCAATATTGCTCAAGTAGCTCATTGCTTGGTTGATGGATGTAATGCAGACCTTAGCCAATGCAGAGAGTATCACCGCCGCCATAAAGTTTGTGAGGTCCATTCAAAGACTGCCAAAGTCACCATTGGGGGTCGAGACCAACGCTTCTGTCAGCAATGCAGCAGGTAATGCCTTTATTTGAACAACTCACAAGTTTAAAAGGGGTGCCGCTATGGGCAGGGTCCGGGAAAGGGCCGGACCATAAGAGTTTATTGCACGTAGCCTTACCATGCATTTCTGCAAGAAGCTGTTTCCACGGCTTGAACACCTTCTGGTCACATAACAACAACAAACAACTCACAAGTTTAATGCATTCAACCAAGGAATCACTATTAATAACAAGCCCAGGTTTGAATGCATTAGGGCTGAAAATGTTCAATCCCTGGACGACACATAAATTAGAAGAATTAAGTCTGTTTATTTGTGTCTTGATAGAATGATAATGTTCTTTTTTCCACTGTTAGAATTGTGTTCTTGACCCTTAGTACGCCACATAGTTAGGAAGATGGTAACTCAAGAGGTGTCTAGACTGGATTAGAAGGTATTCAAGATAGTGAGCTAAAATTAGGATTAACCCTGTTAAAAGAGACTCAGGATCAGCTTAACAAGTTCTGGCATGTAAGAGGATTACCGGTGTTTGACAAGTCGGAGATTTTTACCCTTTATGATGTGATGATTACTTACAAGAAATAATCTGCTTTATCAGCCAATATAGAATATAAGTTGCTCTTGAGTCCTGTCCAAGTTGATTCTCTGCTTGTTTGTTTTTCAGATTCAGATAGTAACTTAGAAAGTTGAAGCTCTGACTATAAGGTTCTCTATACAATTGTCGCATCCCTGATAACATTTATGATTGGAATTGATTTATGTTGCAGTGTTTATCTCGATCTGATGGTTCCTTTTGTAGGTTTCATTCCTTGGTAGAATTTGATGATGGAAAGAGAAGCTGTCGGAAACGTTTGGATGGACATAACAGGCGTCGAAGGAAACCTCAGCCAGATTCTATGGCCAAAACTTCTGGATTACTTTTTACTGGCCAGCAAGGTTAGGGTCATTCCTTAATAATCAGAATGCTTTTCTAAATAAAAGGAAACATGAGTGCTTTTTCCCACCTTATTCTTAGAAATTGGCTACCATTATTTTTACATACCCTTAGTTTTTTATGTTGATTCAAAGAAAACTCAACTGATTTATTTGTAGGGACGAAACTTCTGTCATTTAGCAGTCAACAAATTTTTCCAAGTGCAGCTGCATGGGCTGGCGTAGTCAAAACGGACAGCGAAATGGTATTATACAACAACCAATCGCATATAAATTGCATGGACAATCAAAACTCGTTCCCTGATTCTTCAGCTCGTAGCTACAAAGGAGGAAATCAATTCCAGTTCATGCAAGGCAGTGACCGTAGTCTCCCTGAAGCTTCAATCTACCAGCCACTTGTTGATCATCCCAATTCTGCAGTAGCAGCAGCAGTTCCTAGCAGCGGACAAAAGATCTTCTCCAGTGGATTGAACGAAATTGTGGACTCTGATCGTGCTCTCTCTCTTCTGTCATCAGCACCCGCTGTAACTAGGGAGATTGGTTTTAGTCACATGGTGCAGCAGCCTGCCACTATCCCCCGGCCCCAGTCACAATCTGTCGTTCATAGCCTGCACTATGGTGGTCTAAGCCAGTACCCTTTTGCTCAAGATTTCAATAGCCAACCTCAAGATTCTGCTGCAGATTCACATGTTAGCAACAACAGCTCTCTGCATTTCCATGATATGTTACAAAATGGAGCAGATGGATCATCTACAAGTGGTGGCTGTCAGCAAACACTAGCCTTTATGTGGGACTAAATACTCAGGATATCTAAATTTGGTCTCTGTTAACATCAAGAAAATTCCTTCCAAGCAAATGTTATTCCCATTAAGAATGTTTAGCTTCTAATTAGCGACATAATTTCTTCTCTAAAAGGGTCGAATGTCAGTAAGATCCTATCATGAAGTTATTTGTGACAAAGGTTGACTTTTGTGTGAAATATGAGTTGACCATTTTATATTCCCCTGACCATTTTATATTCCCTTCGTTATGTTTCTCGCTTGTCGTATACTTTTATTCTCTCAATTTTGATGCGGAATTTTGCATCCTATTCCATAAACTTTCTGACACTAGAAGGTGGAGCCAAAATTTGAACTTTAGGGATTCTAATATTGATATCACATGTTAGTAACAGATGGTTACGTATAATTAGTTTTTAAGTGGCATATAAAACTCATATTGTTAGCGTATAATTTTTTTTTTCTTCCTTTTTGTGATAAGTACCTGATGTTGGGCATATTTCTATATGTTTTGATGTTACTTTACCCATGTTTTAACTGCTTTTTGGTGCTATTTGGTGTTAAAAATGCCCAATATGTATTAATTATTAGTTTTATGACTAATTAAGTTATGTGTGATGATTTAGGATGTTTGGAATGCAAAAATATGAAGAAGAGATGCTCCAACTAGAGGAGAAGAGGGTAGATGCGTCGCATCCAACTTTGGAAAGAAGGCTAGTTGATGCACCCTTAGCAGTGAAGTCGGGCCATAGCTTCCGCCTTAGCATCCGCACCTGGGCACATCAGAGATGGAGGAAAGCATTCATCCTAGCATGTGAAGCTGAAGAAGTGGAAGCTGAGCATCTACCTAGCATCAATCCCTGAAACTGAGTCGGATTAGGAAAAGGAAAACTTTGGCCCACGATTTTTGTATGCAATATATAGGCCAAAACGCCCCTTTTAGGTCATCTAACACACTTTTGGACAGAAATTTAACCTAGGGAGAGCAAGGAGCCGCCATGGAGGTCGGGTTTCATCTTTTCTTCCACCAAACTTAGTATTTATTATGTTTCTTTGTATGATTTGTTGTTTTGCTACCATGTCAATGCGGAACTTAAACTTCACGTTCTAGGGTTGTGGTTCTTTCATGACTATTGTTATTCGGACATTGATTTTGCCTTCTTGATTTATCATATTAGTTTATTTATTCAATCCTGCTCTTAATTATTTAATTGCTTGATCATCAATTAAATACTATCTACGAATCTAGAATTGAACTCGAAAGTGGGAATTCTAGATTGCATATAGGATTGAGTAAAGCAAGTTCTTGAACCTGGGCATCGAGGAACGGGCTCGCGGTTAGGATAGACATATACCTAATTGCCTTGCTTGGTTGATTTACAGGAATTATAAATGCATTCTTGTTGATGCTAACTCTATAGACATATATGCGTTAGGTTAGCTTGAATAGGCGAGTAAGAACTCGATAGATTCTTATGAGTAACATTAACCCTGTCAACCAATAAGCTGGATAATCAGTTGGTCAATTCGATTGAAGAATACAATAGGATTGTTAGATAGCCAATAACCCTAGATCGTTTTCATTACATTGATATCATAAAAATCTGTTCTTTCTCTGTTTAAAGTTCATTATTTGTATTTCTTTATTTAAGTAGTTTAGAATCAAACATTTCTAGGTTTAATTCTAATTTTAATAATTAGGATAGTCTAATTTAGTTAATAGTTAATCACAAGTCCTCGTGGGTTCGACATCTGACTTTTAGTCACTTTATTACTTGACGATCGCGTATACTTGCGTGTGCATTTGACTGCAACAATACCTCTTACCATGGTAAGTTGTACAAACAAAAAAGAAAATACCGAAGAAGATAATGAATGACATTTAGCCAATTGCAGGGCGAGTCTTGTTCTAAACTACTGTATTACCTCAAAATTGCAAATATAACTATTTACTCGTAAAATGATACAGTTGAATTTGTTACGTAGTTTACTGATAAACGAACTGATTTGATCTAAAAATGATAAATAGACTAGATAAAAAATAAGTATTAGCATTAAAATCAAAAGAAATGGCAGGCTGGCTCCGGGAGCGTGTCACGACCCGGATTTTCCACCCTCGGGAGTCGTGATGGCGCCTACTAGTGTGAGCTAGGCAAGTCGACTGTTTGAACAAATTACCTTTTTACCCATTTTATATTCTCTAACAATTATAAAGCAATAACGTGTAGACAGCGGAAATTACAATAAGCGGAAGAAATACAGTAAACTATCTGAAATATGTATCTAATACAACTTTTGGAGCCTCGACCACCCAGAACTGGTGTCATAGTTTCACAGACGATCTAAGAATACTACATACAAAGTCTGAAAGATAAAAGATACATTGTTTCTGATCTAAGTAAATGAAAGAGGAGTAAAGGGATAGAGGGAGACGCCAGGGCCTGCGGATGCCTGCAGGACTACCTTGGATCTCTGCGTGGACTGAAGGCAGCCACCCAATCTACGGTCCAAAAGTTGCTGCTCCGGGATCTGCAAATAGTGTAGAGTGTAGTATCAGCATAACCGACCCCATGTGCTGGTAAGTGCCTAGCCTAACCTCGGCGAATTAATGACGAGGCTAGGACCAGACTACCAAATAAACCTGTGCAATTTAACTATATATAGAGAAAGAGAAGAACAATAATATACAGTCAAGTATGGGAGGGGTAACATGCTGCGGGGAACTATAGAAAGACAACGGGTAATTAAAAGAAATAACATATCTCAGATATCAAAAAAGAATCAGGAATCAAAAAGTGCACGGCATCACCCTTCGTGCTTTTACTCTCGTCCTCACCAAAGCAATCAAGTAATAAAAATGTGCACGACATCACCCTTCATGCTTTTACTCTCGTCCTCACCATATAATGAATATAATCGGCACGGAATTATACATCGTGCGGCACGGCATCACCCTTCGTGCTTTACACTCTTTCCTCACAAATCATACACAGCATCACCCTTCGTGCTTTAACACTCTCTCACCAAAACAATACACGGCATCACCCTTCGTGCTTTAACACTCTTCCTCACCCAAACAACAATCACAAACAATAGGGCAATGGAATAGATGAAATTACAATAAGAATCTCAGCAAGGGAACAATAGTTCAACAATCAAGTCCCGGTAAGGGAACAACATCATAAGAAGCATCAACATCCCGGCTAGGGAGATAACATAATGATTCTATTATCTTTTTCACTTTTACTTCACAACTCATTTCACAACTTGAGCCAATGCTCTAAAAGGTTCAATTACCACTTATACTTTCACATTTCATTATACAACTTGAGCCAACGCTCCTCATTGTTCAAATGTCATAATTACTTCCACGAACTTTGCCCAATAATAGAAATCATCACCAAGGCATGAATAATACAACGAAGTCATAATAATCACAATATAAGACCCAGGGGAATGCTTGACACCAACGTATAGATACTCGTCACCATGCCTATACGTCGTACTCAACAAATACCCCATAGCAAATAAGACTTGACTCCTAATCCCTCAAGCTAAGGTTAGACTAAACACTTACCTCGATGCCATGAACACAATTAAAGTCTCTACTATCACTTTACGTCTTGATTCCACCACCAATTCACTCGTATCTAGCCATAAGTTACTTAATTATATCAATAAATTCTAAATGAATCAATTATAATGCATGAAAATGAGTTTTCTAAAGTTTTACTCAAAAAGTCAAAAATTGCCCCCGGGCCCACATGGTCAAAACCCGAGGTTCGAACCAAAACTCGATTACCCATTCCCCCACGAACTCAAATATATAATTTATTTTGAAATCGGACCTCCAATCGATGTCTAAATCCCCAATTTTTGAAAAACCTAGGTTCTACCCAAAACACCCAACTTCCCCCATGAAAATTATTGATCTGGAGTTGAAATCATGTGAAAAGATGTTAAAGATTGAAGAAAACTAGTTAGAAATCACTTACAATCGATTTGGGGAAGAAGTTATCTTTGAAAATTCGCCCTAGAGTGTTTTGGTTTTGAAAGAGTGTGAAAAATAGTTGAAATGCGTCTAAATTATGAATTTACAGGTTGCAGGTATCGCAATTGCGAACCCAGACTCTGATAAGCTCGCATTTGTGAAGTCGGATTTGCAAACATCCGGTCGCATTTGCGAAGACAGGCCCATATGGGGAGCTATCGCATTTGCGAAATCGCATTTCCGAGGAAGGGCTGGCGTGGGCTGTTTCGCATTTGCGACTCAGCCCTCGCATGTGAAGCCTGCAGGTCTGCAATAGAACAACTGAAACCTGCAATTTTCCAACTCCAAAAAACCATCCCGTGGCCTATCCAATACTCACCCGAGCCCTCGGAGTTCCAAACCAAACATGCACACCAACCTAAAAACATCATACGAACTCGCTCGTGCATTCAAATCACTAAAAGAATATCAATAACTACGAATTTAGCATCAAAATCATGAAATTTCTTAAGAACTTCAAATTTTCCAATTTTCTCAGATACGGTCCGATTCACGTCATTTCAAGTCCATTTCTTACCAAATTTCAAAGGTTCGACTCAAATCATATATAAGATATGTACCGTACTCCGAAACCAAAATACGGGCCCGATACCATCAAACTTTAAACACATTTCACTTTCAAAAGATCATAAATATTCCAGAAAATAATTTTCTTCAAAAATTCATTTCTCGGGCTTGGGACCTCGGAATTCGATTCCGGGTATTCGTCCAAGTCCCATATTTTCCTACGGACCCTCCGGGACCGTCAAATCACGGGTCCGGGTCCGTTTACCCAAAATATTGACCGAAGTCAACTTAAATCTATTTTAAAGTCAAAATTTATTATTTTTCACAGATTTTCACATAATGGCTTTCCGGCTACGCGCCAGACTGCGCATGTAAATCGAGGTGATGCCGAAAGAGGTTTTTAAGGCCTCATAATGCACAATTTACTTTTAAAACAAGAAATGACCTTTTGGGTCATCACAGAGCGATGCTTCCGAGGACAGAAATAAGAACAATATGCAAGAGCAAGTAAAGTTATCTTATTTAGCTTGAGAATAGAATATGACATAAGTTTTGCTAGTAATTTCGTGTCCTTACAATGGTTGTTGAAACTATTATTTATAGCTATACATAGGGAATAAGATCCTAGAATCAAGCCCATCTTAAATGACAATAAGGGGGCC